CCTGGTTCCCGGCCCGGCCCGCAGGACCACGCGGACGCGGTGCGGGACCCACGCACGGCCCCGGCCAGCCCCTCCCGGCACAGACGAGCGCACCGCGGCCACACTGCTGTCCACGGGCCGGGCACACCCCGGCCTCCCCCACCCCGTCACCGGGGCCCGGGGCGACAAAAGGCCGAGCGGGAAGCACTTGTCACCGTCCAGGGCACACTGACAGCTGGCCTGCGCTGAGCCAAGTCAGCTGAGGGCGATAAACCAGGGGGCCCGGCCCAGACAGGGTGGGGGACCCCTGACTGCACGGGTATGTGGCTGTCTGGGTGCCGGGGCGGCTCACCTGAAGTCATTGATGGCCGCCTGCCTGCCTCCCTCTCAGAACCGTGCTGGGCCCGTGGGGACAGACCACAGCAGCAGAAAACTCTGCTGGCCCCAGTAAGTGGGTCAAGGGCTTCCCACAGCAACCCCGGGCAATGGAGCCCAAACTAAAACCCTTATGTGCCCTGTCTAGGCCCCAACCCCATCCTTCCAGCCCAAGGCGGGCACAGACCACACGCAGCCACCAGCAACTTCCTTGCAAAAACCCTCGGCTCACCCGAAGGCCAGTGAGATTTATTGATTTTTGTCCTTTTCCGTCTTTCCCCAAGTGGTTTTTCCTTGCAAAATGCCTGACATGACACCAGAGGGGAACCTAGGAATGGGGGGCACCCCGAGGGGCAGCCCAGGGACTTAAATACAAGCTGGAGGGCAGGGCATGAGTGGGACAGGCAAGAGACAGCACAGGGACATGGCTTCTTAGGTAGAGATCAAGGTTGGTTTTTCTGCAGCAAGCAGCTGTGCCGGGGGCAGGGAGCTGGGACCCGGGACCCTGGGTGGGGAGGGGGCTCCGGAGCCCCAGCTCTGGTGGCGCACACATTCCCACTGTCCCCAGAGGAGGAGTGCAGGGTGGGGGTCTATCCTGCAGGCTCCCAGGGCGGGGCGGGTACCCAGAGGTACTGCCTCTGGGGAAGGGTGGAGGGGCTGGCAGGGCGAGGGTTAAGGCTGGCGCTCAGCCTCTGGCACGGTGGGCCTTCTGCCTTGGCTTGCCTTGCGGACAAAGGGGCCCGGCAGGCAGGCGGCACACGGGCCCGGCTCTGGCAGGGCAGAGGGCGGCGGGAGCAAGCTCCCTCCAGGCTCAAGACACAGGCCCAGCACGGCTGCCCACCCACCTACCTTGGCTGTGCCTGGCCGCCACAGCTGGACGGCAGGGCTGTGTGGGAGGGATGACGGAGGGAGGCGGAGGGGAGGGAGGTCAGGGTAGGCCGCCAGCCCCGTGGCCCCACGCCTGTCCCGAGGTCTGGCTCTGGGCCCTGGATCCCAGGTCCCCTGGCCCCACTGGCGGCCCTGGGCACAGACTGCAGCCAGGGCGGTAGAAGGCAGGCCGTCCCTCAGCTCTTGGCAGGGAGGTGGGGAGAAGAGCAAGGAGAGAGGCCCGCTGCAGCACACAGGGGAGTGGGACAGACAGACAGACTGATGGAGGGGCCCTCATCCCAGGGAAAGGTACGTGTGGGGGTCTTTAAAGTTACCTATAGAGGCAGCAGCACAGCGAGGCCCCACCCCATGACAGGCCCTGGAGGTCCTCCTTTGGGGGCCCTGACAGAACCAGGGCTCAGGGCCGCAGGCAGATGGGCCAGAGGGAGATGGGGAGCCCAGGACACCCCAAAGCCATAGACTCAAATGCCCCAGAGAGGGAGAGGAAGGGGGAGGCATCTCCTGCCCCCTCAAGGGCATCACCGGAGGCGCCCCTCCTGCCCCACCCGACGCGCCCCTCCTAGCAACAGCCGCCGCCGGCCGGCTTCACAGGGGTGCTGTCGATCGTGAGGTTGGGCCGCTCCCCGCCCGAGGCTGCCCCAGGCCCCATCCGCTTTTTGATCTCAGCGGCCATGGTCATGAACGCCTGCTCGACATTGGTAGCATTCTTGGCGCTCGTCTCCAGGAAGGGGATGCCCAGGGAGTCTGCAAACTCCTGCCGAGGAGAGAGGCGAGAGGAGAAGGGTAGCAGAGAGGAGGTCGCAGGCCCAGCCCGCCGCCCCGGCCGGGCCCTGCTCACCTTGGCCGTGGTGTTGTCCACCACTTTCTTGGTGGTCAGGTCGCTCTTGTTACCCACCAAGAGCTTGTTGACGTTCTCGCTGGCGTAGCGGTCAATCTCCTGCAGCCACTGCTTCACGTTGGCGTAGGATTCCTGGGGAGGCGGCCGAAAGTCACCCTGTTCCCACTCCCACCCAGGCCCCGAGAACAGGGGCTTCTTTGAGGGGCAGTGGGTGTCCCGGGCCCCTGAGCAGCAGCAGAGCTGGGCTCAGGGACCCAGAGGAAGCCCCTCCTTCCTCTCCTCAGGCTTAGCATTCTACCCCACCTTCCTTTGACCCCAAAAGCCAGGGCAACAAAGCGCCACCTGCCTGCAGCTACTCTGTCCCTCCCTGAGACACAGGAAAGACCTAACCACACGTGGGGAGCCAACGGCGGCGTCAGAAGAGACAGGTCTGAGGGGATGCAGGGGGCGAGGGGACAGACAGCAACGACCAGGAAGAACCAGAGTCCTACAGTGCTAGAGGGAAGGGGACGGTCCGTGCAGGAGAGACCCTGCCTAGGAGGGAGACAGGTATCCTGGGAGCAGTGGACCAGATCCCAAAGGACCGCGTTGTCCTGAGTCCATGGACACCAACAGCCGTAGTGGCTTTCCCAAGAAGGGGGGCAGGCACACTACACCTGTGCTTCAGGGCAGTCCTGGCAGGAGTGTGGGGCCCCATCAGACTGGCAAAAAGACGGAGACCAGGCAGGGAGGCAGCTGGGAGAATCCAGGGAAAAGACGATGCTGCCTGAGCTGGGGAGCGAGGCAGGGATGAGCACAGGATTTAAGGCAACCGTCCTGGGGTTAGGGCCTGGCTCGGTCCTTTACTGCATGACCAGCCTCTCTGAGCTGCTTTCCTCCCTCTATGAAATGGTCCCTCCAGCAGGGCTGTTGGAGCCTGAGACAATGAACACAGCCTGTCTCCCAACAAGTGCTCAATTAGCAGGGGCTGCTATTATCCTCATCACGGCTATTATCACGAGGGACGGATGGGAGAGAGAACAGTGACAGGATGAAGGGATGTGGGACCGACTGGATGGAGGAGGGGAGGCAGGAAGACAGGAACTCTGTTACAAAGGCGGGGCTACAGGGGCGGTTCAGGGGATGGGGAGATGGGTGCTGGACCTGCCGAGTTCTGAGGATGGCCTGGGGCTCAGCAGAGGCTCTGTGGGCAGGACAAGTTGAGATTCAAATGCTGCTCAGAGACCATGGGCAGGTTTCTTACGACTTCTCCAAGTGTGCTGCCTCCACGGGACAGTGGGGACCCCACCAGTGAGCATTCAGCTGAATAAATACAGGAAAGCCCAGAACAGTGTGTGACACAGAGTGCCCTGCTAAGGAAGGGCTGTTTAGAAGCAGGAAGAACACACACAGGCCGGGAGCCCAAAGCAGGACAGCGGCTGCAACCGCTGTGAGATGGTGGCACAGATGATAGGGTCATGGGGAGTGCTGCAGGGTGGGCTGGGAAAGAACACTGACAAGGTGGGCACGGTAGGCCGGGGAGCCGAGGACGGCACGTTCTTCAAGGAGAGAGAAGAGAGGAAAAGAGGAATTTAAAGCCCCAGAGGTCAGACAGGATGCTGACTGACGTGAGGTCACTGACTCGGCAGTCAGAAGGTCCTGAGCAACGTGTCAGCCACAGCACGGCCAGAGCTGGGGGGCCAGGAGGGAGCTGGCCTCACGGGTCCCCAGTGAGCCTGCAGGGCCACCCCACCTGGCTCGGAGCTGATGAAGCAACTCCATGTCCCCAGGGCCAGGCCTCAGGTAAGCAACCAGTTCGGGAGAAGGAACACAGTGTGTGGAGGTGAAGGCCTTGGCTTCCCACCTCTGCCATTCAACGAGCGGTGGGACCCTCAGAAAGTCTCCTCCCTACCCACATTCTGATCTATAAAATGGGAAACTGACGTGGACTTCTTTGGGAAGTCATGAGAGCCAAATGGCACAAGGATGGTGACACGTTCTGGAAACCTGAAGCTGTGGGAGGAGCGTTTGTGGGTTACCACGGCGGTGGCAGCCACCACCACCAATGACTGAGGCAGCCGCCATAGGGCTCCAATGCTCCCAGGCCTCTGCTCATACAGGGCCGAGCCCAGGGCGCCCTCACTTCCTGTCTAAGCCCTCCAACGGCTTCTCCACAGTGTGCTCCACACAGAAAGCCCTGCACAGGAGGCCAACCAGCTGACTAAACCTCCACAAAGCACAGGGGCCAGAAGGTCTAGAATGACGTGTCACGCTCAGGGCAGGAGGACCTAGGAGGGTCTGTTCCTGCAGCTGTTTCCCTCCTCATGAGACAAGTCCAGTCCCTCTCCGGGCAGCAACGGAAACAGAACCCGGGCCAGAGAGCAGAGTCGGGAGCGAGGCTGGGGGCGGCGAGGCCAGGAGTACCTGGTCAGTGACATCATAGACCACGATGATGCCATGGGCTCCCCGATAGTAGCTGGAAGTGATCGTCCGGAACCGCTCCTGACCAGCTGTGTCCCACTGTTGAAACAGCAGGAGGGAGAAGCAGGTGAGCCTCGCTGCACACCCAGAGCCCCGCTCCCCTCCCAGGGAGGCTGCCTCTGTGCTGGGGGGTTCTGGGAAGAGCACCACTCACGATTTGAAGTTTGATGGTTTTGCCGTCCAACTCGATAGTTCGGATCTTGAAGTCCACGCCAATGGTGCTGATGTAGCTCTCTGTGTACGTGTCATCCTGAAAGGGCAGGGACGATGAACAGCCTGGGGGCCCATTTGGGAAACCTCCCTCCAGCTCCCCGCCCCAGCGGAGCGCCTAACTGCTAAGCCCCTGCTCTCAGCACCCCACTGGGCCAGCCCCACCACCACCTTGCTCAGTCAGGTGTGTTGCCAATGGATCCTGCAATGCATCTTTGGTCCCTAAGGTCTTGCAACTACTGTGGTCTGGGGTGCCCCTTTCTCCCCGCAGCCGGCCAGCCAGGACCCCAGATGGATGGCATGGGACGCTTCTTACTCACAGCAAACCGCAGGAGCAGGCATGACTTGCCCACGCCCGAGTCACCGATCAAAAGCAGCTTAAACAGGTAGTCACTGGAAAGAGAGGACCGGAAGGCGTGAAGGCAGGCAGGGAGCACCTACCATGGTCCTGGACTCGCGCTAGAACAACACTGGGAGGCCTGCCTCGGTGTGGAGAGCTAGGGTGCCCACCAGACCCTTCCTCCAGTCCCCCACAAAGCATAGCTACCCCAAAGGCTCTCAGCTTGCTCAAGCCAAATCTCACTTCACAGAGAAGGAACCCAAGACAGAGCGGGACGAGACTTGCCCACGATCACAAGGAGGGGACAGAGCTGGACGTCCTACTCTGATTGCTGACACTCTGTGGTTGGACACAAATGGGGCTCTTTAGAGGACCCCCACTACCTGCCCTGTGGGGTGCCTAGCTTGGCAGGGGAGGCCCCAGCCTTGGAAGTGAGAGCCCAGTCCAGAACCTGCTAGATGACCAACTACCTAAAGAGCAGGAGGCGCAACGGGTGACCACGGCAACCGCAGCCAACTGTCTGAGTTCCTACTCTGCCTGGTCCTGTGCTAAGTCCTGCAAAAGCACCATCTCATCAAACCCTCAGGACAGTGCAGTGAAGGGGTGCCGTTACTCCCACCTCACAAGCAAACCCCAGCTCAGAAGGGAAGCGTCGCCCCAGGACCCGTGGCTGTTAACTACACACGGGAAACGAGATCTGTCAGACCCCACAGTCTGCCAGCCTGCAGGTTCCCTTCTCTGTTCCCCCCTATAACCCAGCTCAGAGCGTCACCCTTCCCAAGAAAGCCTGCGGCCTGGATCCGGAGGGGGAGAAGGAAGTGGCAGAAGAGGAAGGCGATAACCAGGACTTGGGGGAAACTGTCAGCGAGAAGCCAGGCCACAGGATGTGGGCCAGCTGCCCCCGAGAGGAGTGACTGAGAAGCCGGGAGAGTTGGCGAGGAGCAGAGAAGCTCACCCTTTGCGGGGATTCCTCTCAACTTCAGGGTTAGAGTGAAAGGGAGGGGTGTGCCGATGGCGGCGAGGGGCCCGCGCGAACGAGAGAGAGGAGGGCGGCGGGGACCGACCGCCTGAGCAGCGCACCCCACCGAGGGGCGAGGCGGCAACCCCGGGGCGAAGGACCTGCGGGAGACGCGGCCCGCGCCTCGAGGCTTCCCGCGTTCGATCAGCCCAGGCTCCCGGCAAAGCGGAGGAATCTTAGGGCCCGAGTTTATACTGGAGACCACACACTATGATGACAGGCTCCAAACTCCGGGACCGTCGTCCGCCCCAAGGCCTCGGACACCTTCAAGCAGCAAGTGGGGAAACTGAGGCCAGGAGCGATCAGGGCTGCGAGGTCACCTGACCGTCAAGGCCTTGTAGGGTCGGTGACTCGGGCCCCAAGTAGAAGCCCTCGGGGGTCGCTGCCTCTAGATACAGAGTGAGAGGACCCGGGGTGTCAAGCTGGGGGCCAAGGCCCCCCGGGGGGAGGGGCAGGACCCGGATGTGATGGGGGGGAGTCAGCGGAAGAGAGACCCGGATGTGGGGGCGCCGCGCAGTCCTGCCTGACCCGGGCCGGACAACCCCAGTAAGCGTACAGCCCCGTACTCAGGATCGAGGCTGCGCCAAACGGCGCGGGCGGGGCTCACTCACTATTCGGGGTTCATGGCGGCGGCGGCGGCCCGCTCGGTCGCTCTCAGTCGGCTCTGCTCCGCCTCCCGTTCCAAGATGGTGGCCGCTCCGCCCCAGAGGCCCCGCCTGCGACGCGCAGGCGCAGATACTTTCAACTGGGGCTTCGCCACGCTGCTTCTCGGAACTTGTAGTCTTCCAAATTATCCCACTCACCCCGGCTGCGCAGGCGTAAACAGCAGAAGCCGCACCTCCCAGCACACTCCCGCCACCGTCGGCGCACTGCCTTCTGGGGCTTGTAGTTCGCTCCTTAGACCTACCTGGCTTTTGAGGTCGGCGCTAGCGAACCTGCTGGCGACGCGGTGCTTAAAATTTATGTCCGGGGCTGGGGTCACCCTCCTTTTACACATTTGTCTGGCCCAGGCGTGACCTGGGCCTATCCGCCCAGCTCCCAGGGAGTGACCATTAGATGAGGTGGGTGCTAATAAAAGACGATGTTCATTCACCTAGAGTTCTCCGAACTCCTAAATTTATAGCGCAGCCCCAGGAAGAAAAGTGTCATCACCCACGTTTTATAGATGGAAAATACCGAAGCTCAGAGAATTTGCTCAAGGTCAAACAGTTTGGGAAGAAGCAGAACTCAAAGTGTGCTCTCTCTAGAACTTCCGAGGCGAAGGCTGTTGGAAGAACACCCGACTCTTCTCGGGGGACTTCCGGATTCGGAACTTGTACCCCCGCCCCAATAATCTGGGCGCTCGCTGCCCGGGTGCCGGACGTGACCGACACGCACACACTCGCCAATTGCACGACCTCTCTTCACTCCTCGGTCTCCGCCCCCAGACAAACCCAGCTCAGATTCAAACCATCTTTATTTCTACAGCAACATCTGAAGAGAGCGACCGCCTCATCCCCGACCGGGGCAGCCCCTCCTGCCGCTGGGGCTATGACTGCCCGTCGCGAGAAGCTGCAGGCTGCGAAGGGGCGAGGCAAGAAGGCTCGCAGGGCGGGGCCCGGGGCGGAGTCAGGCCTGCCTGGGCGGGGCCGGGCCGGGCGGGAGGGGCAATGCATAAGGCAGGGATGCGAGGCAACGCCCGGCGGTGGGAGGACGACGCAGAGGGGTCCTCCGGGATGGGTTCCGGGCGATGGCGGAGGAGGCGCGGCCTCTGAGACCCGGCCCGCAGGAAGGCCCAGGGATCCTTTAGGGAGGCACCGTCCCCCCACCCAGCTGGAGATACCACCGCAAGGAACGGGAGGCGGGGGTGATTAAGGCCTGGGCGGTACCACTAGAGAAGGAGGGGGTGCCCGGGAAGTACCGTGGACTGGGGCGGGGCGGCCAATAACTTATTTCTCTATATACAGAAGCAACGGCCGGGGGAGGCAGGGTGCTCAAGGGACTGCAAGGGCTTGGCGGTCTTAGCTCTGGGGTCTGGAGAAGGCGGCTGTGCGAGTCTCTGCTTTGAGACCCGGGCAGCCCCTCCCCGTGGCCCTGCAGGCTGGGGGAGAGGGCCCCCGCTGACAGGAATAAATAGGTGGGGCTGGGGTGGGCAGGCCCAGCCTCCAGGGCTCAGGCTGAGATGACGGAGGTGGTTACCCTGAGATTCAACAGAAAAGACAGGGGTCCTTGGGAGAGATGGGCGGGGCAAGCAGCAGGCCCATGCGCAGGGCTGGGGGCAGTGCCTGTGGAGGCTCCACCCGCTGCCCCTTCAGCGTTAGCCCACCAGGGAGCTTCTCCGGGAGAGGTCCGTGGAGCTGGAGCTCAGGGTGCGACTGTCAGAGAGGCCGGCTCCTCCAGGCTGTGGGTGGACCGGGCAGTAACTCAGGCCACGCTGGTGCCTGTCTGCGCTGCCCTGACCTGAAGGGGCCACCCAGCCAGGCCCCAGGTCACAGGCAGAGGCGAGGCCCCATGTGCTGGTACCCGGGCCGGCGCCTCCACAGTGATGGTCCCGCCATCGGTGGCTCACAGCGCCAGCCCAGGGCCGTACTGGACTTCCCTCACCTGCCTCCCCCCGTCCGTCCCAAAGCCAGGATGGAGACAGTGCTGCTGGGCAAGGGCATGCTTGGAAGGAGGGGGGCCTACAGCCTGAGTGACCTGTGGTAGGAACGCGGAGACGTGCAGCCGTGGTCCTTGGGGCCCCAGTGCCGGGGGCCCTGCTGGCCCTACCTGGACTGGCTCCTCCGTACTCTTGTTGAGGAAGTTGAGGGAGCTGGCCCGCTTCATCCTAGGGAAAAGGACTGTGGGTTGGCCCAGAGCGCAACTGGGAAAGTGGGGGAGGGGCTGGATCGGGACTTGGGACGCCGGCAGGGGGCAGACTCGGTGGGTGGAGGGTCAGTGGGACTCACTCTGGCTCAGGACTTGTCTGGGCTTGGCGGGTGCTGGCTGGGTTTTTGGAGGGGCTCCCCCTAGCTGGGGGCTCACCTGGGATTAGGGGGCTCCTGGGGGCCACCTCCCTGCAGCTTCTTCACCAGCATCTCACTGCTGCGCCTCAGGGCGTCCCGCAGCTTCCCGAAGGAGCCGCTGCGTCGCAACGAGCCGCTGCCATCCTGCGGGGGACAGGTTTGTGGGCCCCACGGTGCCACACCGCCTGCAACCACCCAGCTCCATCATCACCCTGGCCGGGTGGGCACTCACCCCGCTCCACTCGGGTGCGGGCCCCCCGTCTTCCGGGTCAGGCTCGGCGCGAAGCCCGGCCCCCCCAGCCACCTCTCGGCTGCGGCTGCTGCTGCGGCCTCCGCGCCTCCCACTGTTATCTTTGAGCAGCTCCACCACTTTAGTCTGACTGGCAGGGTCCAGGCCCTAAGGGTGGGACAGGAGCAGCAGGCCTGTGTGGGTCACACACGAGGCCACACAGGTCCCTGCCACACCCCTAGGCATGACCCCCCACCTGCTTGCGGCTGCGGCTGGCACAGTCTTCCAGCGTGTGCGCGGCTTCCAGCTTGCCCTGGCGCCGGTATAGGGCCCCCAAGCTGCGTAGGGTCGTGTTGACTGTGGGGCTGTGGGTGAGACAGGACGTAAACCTTGATGTTCCCCAGGACCTAGTGGGCACCCAAGAGCTCTGGTGGCATAGTGCCTATGGCATTTGATTGCTAACCGGAAGGCTGGCGGTTCAAACCCACCAGCCACTCCTCGCAAGGAAGGTGGGGCAATCTACTTCTGTAGTGATAACTGCTTCAGAAACCCAAGGAGGGGTCGCTATGAGTTGGGTCCGACTCGACGGCAGGTAACAACAGTGAGCACCCGGCCCACGGGAGGGCCCTGCAGAACTGTCAGGACAGCTGCACTCTGAGCCCCTCCTGTGTGTCCAGCCCTGTGCCGGGCCTCCTGGCCTTCTAGCTTGGGGGAATCACCTCCAGGTTAGACTTGGCCCCAGAGCCCTGGAGGGATGCTGCCACTGGGCCAAAGAGCTGAGACACACAGAAGGGAGAGCAGCAGGCTGTCCCGAGGGCAGCACACTCCTGGGGCCTTAACCTGGCCTTGCCAGATGGGCTGGCAGGGAAGAGGGGTCTATTCTGGGTGTGGATATAGCCCCCACCCAGGCTGCTAGCCCTGTTACCTGCCCGGCTACTCACCTGTCTACTTTGCAGGCCTTGTACCAGCTGCCGTATTCCCCATAGGGGGTGCTGTCCCGGCGTTTATCCTGGGGAGAACAGGCAAGACGGGGGGAAGGCACTCTGCTCCATGCACCTGGGCCCCTTCACCCCCCCACCCCCTGCCCCTCAGCTACCTTACTCTCCTCCCGTTCCTCTGCGTGCATCCAGATGGGCTTATTGTCCCCTGGGAGAAGAATAGGGCTGTCACCAGCCTCTTAGAGAGCCTCTCCTGTGGGACATGTACTGGGATCTGGGGCATTGGGGGCACCAGGAAGGGCTGGGTGAGGGCTCAGTTGAATGAGAAGAAACAGACTCCGCACCTTCTCAGGTTTCCTCTGGGCGCAGAGATGAGCAGAGCACAGGCCTGCGCTCAGGGGTTCACTGTTGGGTGTGGGGCAGACGGGGGCACAGACCCTGCACACCTCTGGCCGACAGCCTGCGATGTGCATAATGGGCCAGAGTCCAAGGGACCCCAGAGCAGAAAATGACTGGCAGGGTCAGAGGATGTCTTTCCTGATGGGGGACACTGGGACTGAGCCCTCAAGGTGGGCAGGTGTGGTACGGTGGGGAAGGGGAAAGACTCTGGGTCGAGTGTGTGGGGTGTGCAGTGCGGGCGGTACGGCAGGGCCTGGAGGCCGTGTGAGCCCTGCGCTTGCTCATGTGGGCTGTGTTACATGTGTCCAGGCACATGCGAGCCCTGCGATTGCGCCCATGTGAGGTGTGTGTGTTCTCGCATGTGAGGTGTGTGTGCGCGCTCCCACGTGAGTTGTGTGTGAGCTCCGTGAGCTGTGTGAGCTGTGTGCTTGCACGTGAGTTCTGCATGTGTGAGCTGTATGCTCCCATGTGAGTTATGTGTGTTCCCACGAGTTGTGTGAGCTGTGTGCATTCCCATGTGAGTTGTGTGTGCTCCCACATGAGCTGTGTTTGTGTAAGCTGTGTGTACTCCCACGTGAATTGTCTGTGTGTGCTCACGTGGGCTGTGGTATGTGTGTTCCGACGTGTGCGTTATGTGTGTGTGAGCTGTGTGTGCGCTCACGTGGGCTGTTATGTGTGTTCAGGCATGTGTGCGTTATGTGTGTGCTCCCACGGGAGTTGTCTGTGTGTGAGCTCTGTGTGTGCTCACGTGGGCTGTGTTATGTGTGTCCAGGCGTGTGCATTGTGTGTGTGCTCCCACGTGAGTTGTCCGTGTGTGTGCCTGTGAACACCCCCCAGGAGGCTAGGTGCTGGTGGCCAGGGCTCACCGTTCACGGAGCCGAACTCCCTCTCGTGTGCGCGTGTGAGGATCTCCTTATACAGGGTCTCGGCGTCTTGGTACTTGCCCTGTTTCAGGTAGCAGGAAGCCTGGGACGGGCCCAGCGGGTGAGCAGGATGCAGGGAGCCAGTGTCCCTCCCGCCCGCCCTGCCCCGCGCCCCCGGGCACCAAGTTGTTCTTGGTCTTCGCCACATTGGGGTCGTCTGGCCCAAGGCGGGCAGCGTAGATCTCCAGGGCCCGCCGGTAGTAGAACTCCACCTCCTCCGCCTTGCCCTGGTTCTGGCACAGCAGGGCTAGGTTGCTCAGCTGCTTGGCCACATCGGGGTGGAACTTGCCCAGGACCTGGGATGGGAGCAGGGCTGGGCTCGGGGGACCAGCGGCCCAGCAGGGCCAGCCCAGCCCCTGCCGTGCCCAGCCCTCCTGCCCCCACCTTCTCCCGGATCTCCAGCGCCCGCTTGCACAGCGGCTCGGCCTCCTTGAACTTGCCCCGTTTGCCGTACAGAACCGCCAGGTTGTTGAGCGTTGCGGCCACCTGGGTAGGGGGGAGAGTGGAGGCTGCATGGCCTGGGGCCTGGCTTGGCAGGGGTGCTGGGGCCGGGGGGCTGCCCCACCGCCCAGCCGACGCCCACTCACAGCTGGGTGGTCCTTGCCCAGCGTCTTCTCCCGGATGGCCAGGGCGTCGTTGAGCAGGTGGGCAGCCTCCTTGTACTTGTTCTGATCCCTGGGAGCAGGTGGGGGCGCGGTGAGGGCTTCCTCCAGCCCCAGGCCCCTGTCCAGTGGCCCATGACCCCTGTGGTCACTCACGTACTTACCGATGAACGGACATGGGTGTGGGGGGAGGAGCTGGTCAGTCAAGCCCTCCCTCCTAAGTCAGGGCACCAGGGTAGGGTGGGCTCCAGACACTGGGGGCCTTGGCCTCACTGCCTCATGCCCAGCCCGAGGAAGTCCTGCCACCCCTCGAGTGCCCTGTTTCCATCCCTGAACCTCTGCTCAGGCTGCTCGCTGCAGGGAAACCTCTCCCACCCCGCTCGGGGAGGACACGTCAGTCACCAAAGACCCCTCTGGAGGCCCGGAGAAGCTGTAATGACACTTGTGTCCCCGAGTCCTCACAGGCTGTCATCGCCCCCCCAGTGATGTCCAAGCTTTCCCCTCCACCAGACCGAGCTGTGGTCTAGAACCCCAGGCCGCTCAGGCCCCGGCTCCCTGTGGGCCCAGACTCCTGGGGTGTAACCTCTGCCCTGAGGGCTGGTGACTCACCGATACACCAGTGCCAGGATGTTCAGCATGGTGGCCACGTCAGGATGGTCGTGGCCCGACGTCTTCTCCAAGTCCTCGAGCGCCTGCTTGCAGAGTGGCACGGCCACCTCGTAGCGGCCCTGCGAGGCGTACTGGATCACCAGGTTGTGCAGGGTGCGCAGCCGTGCAGGGATCTCGTACCCTCCGTGCTGGGCGGCCACGTCCCCTCCGCCAGGGCTGGGGGCTGCAGGCCCAAGGGCAGGTGGTCAGGTGTGCCGCCTGCCCACAGGCCGGGCTGAACAGGTGGCCCTGAGCAATTCCCGAAGCACTCTGCCTTGGCTTCCCCCTCTGTACGGGGGTGTCCTCACCCCAGCCCTGCCCACCTGCAGGGCGGCCACAGAGTGAGTTTAGAGTCTCAGCTCCAACACCTCGAGCTGCATGTCCTACAGCAGCCCCCTAACCTGAGCCCAGCTTCCTCGCCTGCAGAGTAAAGGCAGCAGGGCATGCTCAAAGCAAGATGGTCCCCGCTCAGCAGCTCTCTCTTCTTCCGAGGCAGGGAAGGGCACGGTGGCCACTCGGGCCCCGCTTCTTGGGCCCTCCTAGGCCTCAGGGCCAGGAGCTCACACAGCCCTCCCTTTCCTACGCCCCAGAACAAACTGCCCCTCGGCACCTGGGTTCTGCTCATCCTCACTGGGAAACAGGTCGTCCAGGGAGTCTTTGGGGACGTCCGCCTTCTCCTCCTGAGGAGAGACGGGGCCAGCGTCAGGGCGGCGCGCGCCCCCCAGCACCCGAGGCGGCGGCGGGGCGGGGCTCACGCTGGGGGAGGCGTCCTCGTCCAGCTTGCGCATCTGGCTCATGAACAGCAGGTGCTGCTTCTCCTCCTCCAGCTGGGCCACGGCCTGCTCGCTGCGCTGCAGCTTCTGCTGCGTCCCCGCCAGCTCCTCGCGCAGCCACTGGTTCTCCTGCACCAGGCGCCGCACCTGCGCCCGCAGCTTCTGCTTCTCCGACTCCACCGCCCCCAGGTGGTTCGACAGCGCCAGGATCACCTGCGGTGGCCGGCGGGACGAGGGTGGGCGCCCTGGCCACCCCCCAGCAGGGGGCCTCCAGCCCTGCCTGTGGGGAGTTGCCCCGACAGCTCCCACCAAACCCGCAGTTCAAGGCCTGAGCCCAGGAGGCCTGGGGCCCCCAACCCCTTCCTTCCGGAGTCAGCAGCCCTGGGTTCCTAGTCTGGCCCTGCCGGACTCTGGCCAAGTCCGTCCCCTCCAGGGTCTCAGCTCTGCGTCTGCATGGATGGCGCAGTTCCTCCCTGGGCAGCGCGTTCTGAGCAGGAGGTGGGCTCGCTGGGCTGCTGGGCTCTCCACAGGCTGGCGAACTCCGCCTTTACTCCGACCTGGGGGTGCCCCTGCAACCACATCCTCTAGCCCACCTCTTACCCAGCGGGGAACTGGAAGGCTTCCCCTGTGACCCGGCCCCAGGGCGAGTGCTTTCCCGAAGCCCCCATCCTGAGTTCTGCCCCAAGGGTCCAGGCCCCCATCCTTCTCCAGCTCCCAGGGAGGGGAGGGGTGAAAGTCCTGACCCTCGGACGGTCTGTGGAAGCACAGGGCCAGGTAAAGAGACCCAGGGGCCTCCAACTCAGGGCCCGGCCCTGTCCCCAGCCTGAGTCACTCCTTCCCAGAGCCTCCAGGTGCTTCCGGCGGGGAGGCCCAGGTGTGGGCTCCACCCTCTCGGCCTTCCCTCCTTCCTCTACCTGCCTTCCAGCTCTGCCCCAGCTTACACCCGGCTCCCCACCCCCTCCAGCACCTTGTTCCCCATCTGTGCCTGTGCACCCTGGGTGGGGCCCCTTGTGTGTCCACCTGGCACCTGAGAGCCAAGTGGCTGAGATGCAGGGTGAACGAGACAGGCCTTCCTGAGGGCCAGTCTGGCCCATGCGCTTTCTGGTTGGTTAGCAAAATGCCTAATGACAGGTGTTTCCACCACCACTAGCTTTTACAAACATTCCCTGAACAGCCCAGAAGTACACACAGCAGATGGCTCGACTATTTTAAAGGCAAGAAAACCAAGATGACAGAACCAAGGCCAGGAATCGCAGAGCCAGGCGGCGGCTAAGAAAGACTCTTCCCCCAGACTCCTAACTCCTGGCACACCCGTATACCCTTCAGCATTTCACCCGCCTGTCCTCGCAGCCTCAACTGAAGGCCACACAGCATTCCTGGCCCGCCGCCAGGCTCTGGCAGCGGCTTACCCTGCTCAGACCACAGGATTGCAGCTGCCGTGGCCCCCTCTCTCCCTTATTCCCTCCCCAGGTCCTCTTGGGCCTACCTCCAAAACAGCTAGAACTTGCCCCATTCTCTGCACCCCATGGCCACCTCACTAGTCCAAGCCTCCATCTTTCACTTGAATTCCAGCAGTGGCTTCCTGACCATGCTAACACTTTCCACTCCTGGCCCACTATAGTGCGTTTTCTATACCTTGGCCACGGGGAGCTTTTCAGACCTGAGCCAGACCTTGTCCTTTGCCCGGTAAAATCCTCCGAAGGCTTCCGATCTCCAGAGGAAAAAACCCAACTAACGAGACGCAGGGTGGTCTGGCTCCTGCCTGCCTCTCCGCTGGCCTCTTCTGTCCCTCTCCCCTCCTCTCCCTCACGAACGAAGCTCCAGACAAGGAAGTCTTTCAATCTAGTTCCTCCACCCCTTCGACACTCTTTCCTACCTCAGGACCTTTGCACATGCACCCTCTCCCCTTCCTATTTCGGGAGGCTAGTTTGTTCCTTCTTTTAGGTCTTGGTTTCAATGTCACTTCCTCAGAGAAGTCCTGCCTAATCGATGGGCCAGGACCCCTGCTATAGCTAACACATGCTTTTGTTCTTTTCATCCTAGAATCTACCACAATCTGTAACAATTATTTGTGAATGGACGTTTCTGTCCCTCTTCCTACTCCTAGGGCCAGGGATCTTGTTGAGCCTGTAGCCCTGGCACTAGCCATGCCGGGCACACAGTAAGCACTTGATAGCTTATCTGGGAGTGAATAAATAGAAGAATGACGAATTCTGGGGAGTGTTTCCTTAAAGATGTCCCTTGTGTTCCCCTACGCCAGAGAAGCTACAAGAGGGCCATTGAGTGGGGGCTGGAGAGTGATCAGGGACTTCTGGGGTGGGGTGGGGTCCCCAAAGAGCATTCACTTCAAGAGATGTTTACAGGGCTCACACTTCTACTCTGTCCTGTTGGGTTGCTATGAGTCAGAACCAACTGGACTGCAGTGGGTTTGGGTGTGTGTTTTGTTTTGTTCTGTTTTAACCCAACAAATCGGGCTTCAGGAACAGTTGGTTCTGCTCTTCCCTCGCTGGGATTCCTCTATGGAAGGCTGGACCCCTCCCGTCTCAGCACCCCAGGCTGCCTACCTGGGCCTCCCCGAGTCCCAGCTCTATGGCTTCTAGAGAGCGACGCAGGAAGACGCAGCGCTCCTGCGAGCCAGGCTCGGTCTCACCGGCCTCGTGGGCGACCAGGGGCGCGAGTAGAGCACGATGCTCCCCGCGCAGGGTCTCCAGCCCCTGGATGACGGCTTTGGTGCCCAGCACGATGTCGTCCTGGCTCAGCTTCTCCTCCCGCGGAAGCACCATCGTGGCCATGGCCGCGCCGCCTGCGAAGGTGAGGGGGCGGCGGGCGGACGCCGGGCCTGGGGCCACACCACCAGCCGCCCCGGATTAAGTAAACACCGGCTGTCCCCAGACGCCTGGGTCCCCCGGGGGTGGCCCAGACCTCCGGCCGGCAGCCCACACCGTGCCCGCGCTCCGCCTACAGGGGGCGCGCCCGGCTCGTCTCGGCCCGGGAGACGCAATGCGGTGCGGCCGGCGAGGCCAGACTGGGATCCGGCCTCAGACCACCAACTCAGGCCGCCCTGTGTCGGGCTTCCTGTCTCCAGGACAGGGCGCGCCAGGGGACGGTTTTGTGGAGGTCTTGGGGGGTCACTCCCGACGAGAGCGCCGGGCCGCAGTCCCTCCCGCAGCCCCCTCCCAGCAGGCCGGCTGAGCCACTGAGCCCCCCCTTGGGGCAGGTCGACCCCGCGGAGACCCTCCTTAGAGGGTCCAGGCCGCGCCCACGACTCCTCCTCCTCCCTCGAGGACGGGGCGCTCCCACCCTGGAAAAGGCCGCGCCCCCTCCCCGCCGCCGGGCCCCCTCCCCCCGGCCGCGCCCACGACGCCCCTTCCCCAGGCCCGCCCCGAGTCCCCGCCCCTCTAGGCCTGACCCCTTCCTGGCCCTGTCGGGCCGCGCCGACCTGCCTCTCCCGCTCGGCCCGGCTCCCCCCTCCGGCTGCGACTCCGGCTCCCTCCCCGCTTCACCGAGACCCGCAGCCGCGAGCCGGTCCCACAGCCTCCATCCCGCCGGCCTTCCCAGCAGTCCCCGCGCCGCCTTAAAGGTGAAGCAACTACCTCGGCGGCGTCGGAGGGGCCGAAAACGCGCTCCTCTCGGCCCGCTAGCTGCCTTAAAGGAGCAGCGCTGACCCGGCCTACCCCTGCTGGGGGCGTGGCCACCGAGGCCGAGGGGCGGGGCGGGGGCTGCCCCGAGGCGCAGGTTCCCAGCAGCCGCTTCCCACGCTCCTGCCGCCAGGACTTCTCCGCAAAGCCCGAGGCCTTCTGACGTCAGGGCTGTGGTGCGGCTCCGGAGGTCTTAACACGAGATCTCAGTGTGGCAGGCGGAGAGGCGGCGGGAGAAACTGAGGCTTGGCTGGGCCTCCTGTGAATCAGGAGCGAGGCTGGGACTGGAATTAACTTTAGTAGTTGCCTTTCACTGGCCTTTGAAAGCCCCATGGGGCAGTTCTCTCTCACTTGGGGTCCTGTTGGCATGTAGTAGCAACACCTGATCTGTGAGAGGAGGTAGGGGCAGTATCCACTTCAGTGGAGCACTGAGTGTTGTTAGGTGCCTTGGAGTCAGCTCTGACTCATAGCGGCCCCATGTACAACAGAAGGAAACACTGCCTGGTCCTGGGCCAGCCTCACAGTCCTTGCTGTGCTTAGGCTAATCATTGCAGCCACGTTGTCGACCCATCTCCTTGAGGGGCCTCTCCTTTTTCGCTGACCGTCTACCAAGCATATGTCCTCCTCCAGGGACTGGTTCTGTCTAACAACATGACCACAGTAGGTGAGAGGTAGACTGACCATTCTGGCTTCTGAAAAGCATTCCAGCTGCACTTCTTTCTTAGCTCACCTGGAATGCTATAGAATGGAATGGATAGATTTGTTCTTTCTTCTGGTACAAGCCAAACCAAACTCAATGCGGTCGAGTGGATTCCGACTCATAGCGACCCCTCCTTGGGTTTCCGAGGCGGTATCTCTACAGAAGTAGATTGCCCAGTCTTCCTTCCGAGGAGTGGCTGATGGGTTTGAACCGCCAGCCTACTGGTTAGCAGTCAAATGCCTTAGTTACTGCGCCACCAAGAGCTCCCTTTCTTCTGGTAGTCCATGGTATTCTCAGTATTCTTCCAACACCATAATTCAAAGACTTCAACTCTCCTTTGGTCTTCCTTATTCATTGTCCAGCTCTCACATGCATGTGAGGTGACTGAAAATATGGCTCGGGTTAGGTACAATTTAGTCTTCAAAGTAACAACTTTGCTCCTTAACACTTTGCGGAGGTCTTTTGCAGCAGATTTGCCCAGTGCAATCCGAAGTCTGATTTCTTGACTGCTGCTTCCATGGGTGTTGATTGTGGATCCAAGTGAAATGAAATCCCTGGCAACTTCAATCTTTTCTCCATTTGTCATGATGTTGCCTATTGGTCTAGCTGTGAGGATTTTTGTTGTATTGATGTTGAGGTGTAATCCATACTGAAGGCTGGAGTCTGCTATTAGTTTTAAAAGAAAAAAACTCACTGCTGTCGAGTGAATGGGACTCATAGCGACCCCTCCTTGGGTTTCCAAGGCGGCATCTCTATGGAAGTAGATTGCCCAACCTTCCTTCTGAGGAGTGGCTGGTGGGTTTGAACCGCCAGCCTTCTGGTTAGCAGTCA